ACGATAATTAAGAAACTTGAATATTTTTTTTTTCTTTTCTGCTCTTATTTGAGTTTTGTTTGCGTAGACGGGTTTGAGACTAATTAATAATGATTTTATTTTTATTATAATAATTAATTACTATTATTATTAATATTAAGTTTTTTTTTAACTTTTATTTAGATTAAGAATGTTTTTATTGTATTTTTTGAGATTAATTAACATGAAAAATATAAAAATTGATGTTAATTTTAATAATTGTCCAATTTAATTTATTCATATATGTGGTAAAAATATAGAAATTAATTTTTATTTTTATATATTTTTTATGTAAATTAATAATAAAAAATATAATAAATATATTCTTAACTTATATTTTAAAGATAAATATTAAAAAAACTCATTAATTAATATTGAAACATTCTTACTCATTTAATTATATGAAATAAATAACTAATAGTTTCAAATTATTGTATCAAACAATTTATCATGACTTAAGAGTGTATTACATATATTTTTTTATTACATTTAATCTTTATATAAAATTATCATAATTGATCTTAGTTTTATCACTAATGTCACTTAAAAACTTTTAATTAAATAAGTAATAAAATTAAAATTAGAAATTAAAAAAAAACCCTTTTATTTAAACACTAAATTAGAGAATACTCAAAATTTTCTTTTGAATTAATGACTACTACAATAATAATAATAATAAAACTAAATAAAAATCCCTCTTTTCAATAGCTATTTTACAGTTTGGCATCCTGCACTGCAAAAACTGAGAACCCTTTTCAATGTTTAATTTCTCACGAAGGTTGTGGGTTAAGATCAGAGACGATTGAGACGAGAAATTGAAAGGGTTAAATGCTTTTGAGTAAGAAAATAAAATAATGAAAAAGTGTAAGCTAGGGATTGACGCAAGCAACTGGGGACAGCCATCAACCCATGCGCAATTGAGCGGTCCACCCTCTTCCCCCCCACACCCCACCCCCCACCCTTTTATATTCCCTTCCTCTCTCTTCCCAAACGGAATTTCCTCCTCCGTCTCTCCGTTCATCAATTCTTCTCCTTCCATCTTGTCCTCTTCTTCTTCATTTCTCTTGTCTTAAACTAGTAAACACACACCGACTCCCCACCATCTCCACTTCTCATCAGCCTCAGGTATGCATGCTTATATTCTATTTGCACCAATAAAAACCCATCATTATATATATATATTATATTATATCAATATTGATCCATTAGATCCGGTACATTAGTTGTGGTATACTTAATCTCGTATTGCGCACTTAGTTTTATAGCTATTTTGCATCATCTGTAAGCGAGAGAAAATGTCATAATCCATTTGGTCTATTTTTTCTGAAGTTTTTTTGTCAAGTCAAAAGATGATGAAATTATTTGTTAAAATGTTCATTTCTTGGTTCTTGGATCAACCAACCAGTTAGTTCTCTTGAATTTGTCATGGGAAAATTTCCATCTTTAGGCATTGATCCTCAATATCCCAAACTGATCAGCAAAGAAAACAACTTTATTGCCAAAACCTTGAATAAGTTTTGATATGACAGAATTTAATGTTTGTGAACCATGAAAGTGGTGTATTTTGTGTTTCTGGGGGTCAATCAGAATTTTTCTGGGAGTCCATGGAAGCAAAGAGGTCAGAGGTGCTGCCATGAAAATTCTCGACAAACTGACAAAAGTAGACAGAACCCGTTTCCCTGCATTAACCAGACACACACTCTGCAACAAAACCTTCTTTTCTTTTATCCTCTTCTCGATCCAATGAAAACTTTTCCCTCTCATCTTTTTTCTCTCTTTTAACAAACGCGTGCTCAATTTTGATAACGTCATCCACTCCCCCCCGTCCAATATTCTTTTACAGAGTTTTCTGGTTTAATTATAATTTCTCAAAAAGTAAATTTTGTTTGTTTTATGTCTGGAATTGATTGCTCTTTTTTATTTTTTTAAATTAATTTTTAATTATTACTGCACCGGGAAACCCCCTTCTTGGTGCATCATTTCCACCATTCACCAACACAAGACAACATCATTAGCACAAACCTCTACTTGTCTGTTTCTTGAGACCTTCACAAAACGGGATTACTAGAAACCTTCTAACCTCTGTCGGTTGGGTTTTTTTAAAAAACCTTTTATCTAAAATCATTGTAGCTGAAATTATGAGTTTTGTTTTATATATAAATTTGGTTTTCAGAGATAAGTTGGGGAGTGTTGCTTACCACCAAATGAGTTGATGATTATGCGTATACGCCTCATAATTCTTGTCACCATATAATTTTGAGCATTTCAAAATTTTTTTTTTTTTTTGGAGTTTTATGATTTAGAGATGATGGAGAGAATAAGGGATGAGTATTAATAGTGGTGGTGGTACTTAATTTGATGCAGCAGCTCGCAGAAGCAATAGCTATGATGGAGTCCGTGGAGTCATCTTGTGTCCCACCAGGTTTTCGGTTCCATCCAACTGATGAAGAGTTGGTGGGTTATTATCTGAGGAAGAAGGTTGCATCACAAAGGATTGATCTTGATGTAATCAGAGACATTGATCTCTACAGGATTGAACCATGGGATCTTCAAGGTACTCTTTACATTCTATACTTTCTTCCTTCTTGCGCTTCCATTTTTTAGAGAGTTATTGTGTTAGGGTTTTAATTCTTTTCATGTAATCTTACATTGCATGGGGATGATGAACAGAGAGGTGTCGAATTGGGTATGAAGAACAAAATGAATGGTATTTCTTCAGTCATAAGGATAAGAAGTATCCGACCGGTACTAGGACTAACAGAGCAACCATGGCTGGCTTTTGGAAGGCTACCGGACGAGACAAGGCCGTGTATGATAAATCAAAGCTCATTGGCATGAGGAAAACCCTCGTCTTCTACAAGGGAAGAGCTCCAAATGGTCAGAAATCCGACTGGATCATGCATGAGTACAGGCTTGAATCTGATGAGAACGGCCCACCTCAGGTAAGCAAAACACCTACCTTAGCTTAATGCTTATCTTTACTATACGTAGAGAAAATAATTCAACGCGAGTCTATTTTTTCTAGAAAGAATAAAGGGCCTGCACCATTTTTTATAAGTCAAAAAAGTGATTAATAGTTTTAAAGCAAAATGTGTTGCTTTCTGCTTCCTAAACCCTTTTCTGGCATGAGCTTTTCTCTTCTCCTGCTGTTCGTCAAAAGCAAAATTCCATTTCTCCTCCCCTCTCATGACTACTTCAGCATCAATCATCACCCCTTTGCCTCATAATATCTACTACCTCTCTTTACCAAACAAACAGAATACCTACAAAAGCCAAAAGAATATACATGTTCCAAACCAAAAAAAAGAAACATCACTTTCTCTTCTTTGATTCTTTTTTGAGAAAATTAATACCTAATAGATGGAAAGCTTTGTCTCTCTCTACAGAGAAGCTTTTTTTCCTTTTCTTAATGGTCTTTGTGCTGATAAGTTATTACAAAATGACCTAAACTCAAAATTAAGGATTTATAAAGATTAGGTATCAGTTCGGTTAAACTCTTATTGTTTTTTTTGTAGGAAGAAGGATGGGTTGTGTGTCGCGCATTTAAAAAGCGAACAAATGGCCAAACCAAGAGCATGGAAGGATGGGACACAAGCTACTTTTATGATGAAAGCACGGTGGTTGATCAGATGGACTACATCTCCAAGCAGTCTCAGAACATATTAGCTCAGAATTTCTTGTGCAAACGAGAAACAGAAGGGGTGGAGAACTTAAACTTCACCCATTCCGATCAATTTGTACAACTTCCACAGCTAGAGAGCCCATCTGTTCCATTAATGAAGAGGCCAAGTTCGATGTGTATGTTATCAGAGAATAATAGTCTCATCAATAATGAAGAAGAAAACGAGCAGAATAGAGTGTGCATCAGCAACAACAACAATAGGAACAAGAAACAAAAAGTGACTGACTGGAGAGATCTAGATAAGTTTGTGGCGTCTCAATTGATGAGCCAAGAAGATAGATTGGAGGGTGTTGGTGAAGGGGCTTCAAGCTTTGGAGGAAATGATATGGCAGCGATGCTTCTATTGCAGAGTGGTAGTGAGGAGGGGAACAAGTTGGATGAATTCTTGGGTCCAAGTTCGGACTGTGATATTGGAATATATATGCATATTTAAATAAAGGGTAGGAAATGGAACAAAGTTTTCTTCTTGCTAGCTAGTATAATTATAAATGTTTGACGCAAATCTTGAGTCCTATTAATTTTTGTAAAAATATGTTTGTGAATGAGTGAAGAAGTTTCTAATTTTTCTTCTCTTTCACAGAATGCTAAAACATTTCAATTTGTTCTAGTAATAATTGCAAGGGACTTTAATTAAGCAATCGTCATATATAGAGGCTCGAAGCAGAAGTCAAGAACAACCTGCATATACGAGCAGTTAATGTTTAATTATCACTTTGTATCTCTTTATCTATTGGTTATGGATTAAACATTTATTTCTTACTATATATATATATATATTATATTTAGTACTTAAAGGTAAAAATTTGAAAACTAAAATATTTATGGACTCATCCACACCTTAATATATCAATTCGGATGAAATGTTTTCTTATAATAATCATATGATATGATTAAATTAAGGGGATGCATCTCTATCCAAACATCCACCTTAAATGCAACCATCTACACTGACAGAGATTAAGAGACACAACATATATGTGCGTACACGTTCGGGAACGTAATAGAAGCCATCAATTCCCAAATACAAAGAACTTGATCTTTGGAAAAAACTAAAGAGATCAGTTTGCTGATCACTACAGCACTTGAGAAAACTAGAAGACAAACTGACATGATCTCCTATGTACTGCAAGTAATGATTCTCATTGCCCTGTGGTGGAAAGTAATGTATAACATTCCTACACAACAAAAATGAATTCTATTCAGAACTATTGATGGGAGGACAATAATTCCACATTCAAGTAATTCTCTTTCATTAACAGTTCATATTATGCAGTTTAATACAAATTATATTATACAAAACATATTTTTGAGCGTATATTACTCTTTTCAACCAATTAAACGCATCACGTCTTAGATTTTCTTTGTGACCAAACATGGTAGAGAGCAATCTCTGTTAGGCATGGCTAATTTTTGGTCCCGGAAATGAGGAACATGAGCTTACAAAAGAAACAAGACCAAATTAAACATTAGAAACACAATAGTTGGGCTAGGCAGATAGTTAGGGTTGACTGATGGTGGAATATAAGAAGATATTGTGTACACTGAGCATGGGAGCATCTGGGTGTGGGCCCAAGACTTGTCTAGCATGCGCTGTGCACCGTGGCTCCTGTTGGGGGTCGGCATGCATGCCTTTGTATTTCTCTTGTCTTTATGTCCCATGTACATTTTTTGACCATCTTATCTTCGTTCCACATGCCCTCTAATTAGTACCACCCATCACCATACGATGATTTTAAATTTTATAAAAATTCTTCAATTAACTCTTTTTTTTTTTAACAAAAAAAAAAGTGGTTTTATTTGTTTCTTTTCAAATATTAAATGATTTAGTGATTGGACAAACAGGTAAGTTCTTGATACGGCCTTTTCACACTTGGTCCAGATCAACATTCTCGTGGACCCCCTCCTCTTCATGACCTTTTCATGGTGGAAATTTTTTTTTTTAAAGAGAAGATCATAATTGGACTACAAGTTTGGGACGAGGGACTTTGATCATTAACAGCGTGTTTGATTTGAAGAATATGTGAAGAAAAAGAAAAATAAAGAATTTTTGTTTAATTAAATGAAAACTTTTGTCTAGTACCTTCATTTGATAAAAATGATTGGATGAAAACAATTTTCCCGAGCAAACTCTAAATTGGTGAATGCTGATAAAGGTAGATTATAATAAGCAATAACCAAGTCAATGAAGATTGAAGGACATAACTTTTCCATAATACATGGCCAATAAAAATTTTCTTCTTTCTCTTTAGGAATTAATGATTAATCACTTTAGTCGTCAAATGGTTAATAATGCCATTCTGCATTGATGAGCGTAGCGATTGATAATTTTATCAGACCAAAATTGACTTCTGCACCCATGTTTGTGAAAAACTTCGCCCGTAAAACCCGCAAAATTGAGAAGGGGGAATCATCGCGCCGGAAGCTTTAGCCTGTGAACAATATTCCAGCAGTGCCCAAAAGAATATTTTAGGTGTGATTGTTACTGCACATGACTTAAAAGCAGAAAAAAGGAACAGTTTTCACGGGGTGTCTGGGGATTTATTGGAGTGGGTATTTTCTAAGTTCATGGACCAGCAGAGAATTTTCACGTTTAACGGTACTGTTCAGGCCTTAATAGAATGGAAATGGATAGCAATTAGTAGAAAGGTTGACTAAAACAAAGCTCCCTTTTGGCGAACAATGATGCTCATCATGGCACGCACACACAGCCCTTTTGATGACCTTGGTCATGCAGAGATAAGGTAGAAAATTATATTTGGATAAACTTCCATGGTTACTGAAGCAAATTATGTATGCTAGCTTCCTGGAGTAGCGTGCATAGGATCAAATGGACTTTAAAATACCTAAATTCAGGTCAAGATTCAATAACTGGCAGTAAAAGAACGTTCTGAAGTAGAAGATATAGAATAAACCTAGCATAAACTTAAAAAGAGACCTTGAATTGCTTACCTGAACTCTGTTCTAACACTCCACAAGTGCATGCACAGGCAGCTAACATAATCAAACTACACCCTTACTTTCCCATAACACAATACTTTCCTCTAGATTATATCTCATTTCCCTAAACATAGGGAAATCTCTTAATATTGCTTACCTAATTTAAGCAAATGGTTGCCATGAATAAAAATCTAACAACAAACAAAAATAATTAGATACAGCAGAGTTAGATATCATCAAGGAATATTTCCATAAGGACAAGAAACACAAGTATCATGTGATTCATTTCAAGAAGTGAATCAGTTAATAGGGCTTATCCAAAATAATAATAATAATAATAATAATAATAAAAGAAGGGAATCAATAGAACCAGACTTCAGTTAAACAACCAAGACTAGAACAACATTAATTGCACATCTACATTAGTTATCCTTGTTTGATGTTCAAAACAATGAACAATTAACAACAACAATACAACACTAGACAAACACCAATAGAAAGAATCCATGGTTGTCTCAACAAGCGAGACAATAATGTCTCCACGGCAAGGTTATTATCCAGATTAGAATACCAAGGTGTAAAGTACAGACACACAGAGAAGTGTTAAGGCACAGAAGATGTCATCTAGGCCCTTTCACCACGAATTCTCCTGGCCAGCTGTATATCCTTGGGCATGATAGTCACCCTCCTGGCATGGATAGCGCAGAGATTTGTATCCTCAAACAAACCAACAAGGTAGGCCTCTGCAGCTTCTTGAAGTGCAAGGACTGCATGGCTTTGGAACCTCAAATCCGTCTAAACAATAAACAAGAACAGAATATAATCAACAGCCATATTACTCAAAAGTAATATGAAATTGTTCCAACACAACATTTTCCACAAAGGGATAACAGTTGTAAATCCCTTCCCATATGTAGAAAATTTTCCACAAATGGAAAAAATGTGGTGGATAAAACAAGATCTTTCTCAAAATTATTACCTTGAAATCCTGTGCAATTTCACGGACAAGGCGTTGGAAGGGAAGTTTGCGGATCAAGAGCTCAGTACTTTTCTGGTACTTCCGAATTTCACTGTTCAAAACATAAGAAGACATGGCATGAGAGATAGGCAATATTTGCTTTTCCAAAGAAAACTAACAAAGGAAAATTTGTAGCAGCAGAAGACATAACAGATCAATACCGAAGAGCAACAGTTCCTGGGCGGTAACGATGAGGTTTCTTGACTCCTCCAGTGGTGGGGGCAGACTTCCTTGCGGCCTTCAAATTAAAAGGAAAAGATCATTAGACAGTAAAACCTAATTTTAAATGTGATTGCATTCCTGTGAAGAGTTAGGCTCTCCTATGTTGCCCAGTTGATTTGCCCACCAATACATAAACATACAGTTATTATGGATTGAACATTAATTCTTGGACATTACATATCTAAATAATAACTTATACTCTAACAAAATCTGTACCCACAATACAAATACTGTTCTAATAGTTTTTAAGGCCAAAATCTAACAGTTGATGAAAAGGATGCATTTCATACCATCGGCAAAGAAAACTTTTCAGTATTCACTAATTCTCCTATATTAAAAAATGCTCTGAGTTTTACATCCCGTTTTGGTTATATTATTTTTTACTCTTTGGCTGGCTATTCAATTTTCCAAGGGACTGATGCATGTTGATACTCATAACAAGTGATATACTTTAGGCAGCAAAATAAACCAAAATTTTTTACCATATTCAAGATAACCAGATCACTTTTGGCATTACACAGACTCCAGGCAAGAACTGAAGCCAGAAAGGAATAAATCTTCATTTCTAATTGAATGAGAAATAGACCATAAAACTATAGCAAACACAATTGTTCGGGAGAAACTAAAAAGTGTGTTAAGAATTGAAAGTCAACAGCAATGAACAAACATCGAAAGCCAAATCAAAATGTGGAATATAGCAGTGATAAAACAAAAAAAAAAAAAAAAAAATTGCAAAATCAAACAACAGAGAGAGAGAGAGAGAGAAACGGAGGGACATACCTTTGTTGCGAGTTGTTTTCTTGGAGCCTTGCCTCCGGTGGATTTGCGAGCAGTCTGCTTGGTACGCGCCATATCACCTGTGAAACGGAAATCAAAACAGAAGAAATTGCAGGCAAATGAATTCGAATCTAACCGGAGGGATGGGATAAGGGTTTGCTTGCGTCTTCTGGGATACCTGAATGAAGGAGAAGAGAAGAGAAATGCTTCTAGATTCGAATTTTGAACTCTTTGACAAGCGGTAAAGGGTGGGATTGTACGGAGTTAGATATTTAAAAAGCGTGGTTAAGTTTAAGACAACGGCTCGAATATACATAAATATTTTAAGGTTAACTAATTGTCCGTATTAACCCCGGTTAAATCGCCAACGTCTTCAGTTATTTATATTTTTTTTATGGTAGTGGCACCGTGAAAAAAGTAATACTCTTCTGTGTTTTATTTTTTACCTCTTATTTTTTATTTTACTTTATTCATAAAAAAAATTATTATTAAATTATTTAAATGATTGATTTAGTTATTTCTCTATTAACTTATCCAAAAAAATATTTATATTAGTCTGTGTTTAATTTTGTAAGCTTTATTTTTGGCTTAATATATATTAACCATATTAGGTATCATCTCTGACTACTTTTTTTTTTCTTTTCTATTTGATATTTATCATTTTGTTTTTTAACAATGACTTTGCATTACATAATAATTGAACAATAGTAAAATAAAAAAAAGTAATTTTAATTTCACTTTTTAACTTTTATAAAAAAAAATTAGGTAAAAATGTAACATAACAAATGAATGTCTGATTGGAAATTTTGTTTTTCTTAAAACGTAATTTTTATTTAGTAATTTTATTTGATAAAAAATATTCAATTGTTATTTATATATTATATTGAATTTTTACCCAAACATTTTTAAAAAGTCAAAAAGTTAAACTAAAATTACTTGAATGAAGGAAGTAATATAATTAAATTAATTTTAATTAATAATTTACATATTTTAGTAATAATTTACATATATTAAGTTCAAATCAACAACCTCGAGATTGTGCAGCAATAAGCTCCAACTCCTTTATAATAAACAAACAAAAAGTTGTATGCAAACAATTTAAATAATTCAGTAATCATTTTTTTTTTGTTTAAAGTAAAAAGTTCAAATCGTATAACATGCAAGTGAAATATGATAAGGAATAAGAGATGATTATTTCTCATTATGTAATCAAGATTAAGAGAAAAAAAAAAAAACAAAAGTCCATTAGTCATGCGATCTAATGTAAAGTATTTGTATTCTAAATTATATGTTTATGATTTAATTTATAATCTTTACATACCAAAAATAAATAAACCACAAGTCTAAACAGAGCCTAATGCTACTCGTATGCAAAAACAGCCGCTCCTAATGGAATCAGCGGTAGAGTTGATGAAATTGATTAATTAGTTTGTTGTTAACAAAGAATCCAAACTTAATCATCAAAAAAAGAAGCCACCAAAACAGCTCAAACTTAGATTTCGATTTTCAATTTGTCTGATTTGTGCCTTTAGAATTAATTTATATGAAAAATCAAAAAAATTTACTTTTACTTTTACTTTAACATAGTTACATATAAATAAATTTAATTAATTAATTAATTAAATTAAAATCAATATTTATATTTTTTATATAAATTAATTATAAAAAAAATACAATAAATATACCTTTAACCTATATCTTTAAAACACAAGATAAAAAAAACCATTCTATTTTTTCACCATAAGCTCAGACTAATTTCTTAATCTCAATGAAAAACAAGAGTATTCTTCCCATTGTTTAATTGGAAGGTAGCTTAAGCAAGAGCTAAATCTACTCAATATATATGAGCCCTCTGGGTCACAAACCTAAGATAAAAAGCTAAAAAAGAATTCTTTGGTGAAGAACAGCATCTGATAAATCTAAAAAGCTAAATCAGATGTTCATGAATCACCACTACCTGAAACATTGTCTGTATATCTAATGAATATGCACCTCAAACATCACATAAGAAGTATTTAACTTCCCTTCAAAGGAAGAAAAAGGAAAATTTCCCCATTTGCATCAAGCTTAGCTTTATTCATTTTGCTGGTGGTTGGTTCAAGCCCTATTCGCCAGTCATGTGAAGGACTTCGACCACAATATTCCACGCAGAAAAATAATGATCATACAAAAATGAATTAAGTTTGCAGTAAAATAATTGCCTATGCCACAACTGACTACTCAAAACCATAAACTTTAACCTCAATCAAGGAAAACGCACATTTGGTACTAGAAAGATTGGTGGTTCTTTACACCAGAAGCAAATCCTTGATCAACCATCTATGGATCAACACAAGAATGAATATTAACTCTCAAACCACATTCAGAGGCAAGCTCAGCAAGATGGTTTCTCCAAGGAATACAGAAATAATTTTGTTCTCAACTGAAAACCAAGCAAAATGATCCAATTGAATAACCAAGTACCATAATTTTTCCTCCCAAAAATATCAAAACAATATCATCCCATTTCACCACTGGTACTTTCAACTAAAGATCAAAATCAGAACATGTTCTTTATTACATGCCTCTGCTCCTCTGATAAAGGATGACACCAAAATCACATCATACCCATAGAATACTGAATGCAAACGTTTTCCTACTCTAACAAGGACTTCAAATTTAAATCCCTAGAGTAACGCAGGCAGTGCTTGAACCTCTTCAAGATAATCACCATAAAAGCTTCAAATGATTTACCCAAAACTTTTACTTATGAATCTCCAAAGCCGAGCAAAAACTAAAATTGAAAACTTCTCAACTTCTCCTTCTAACAAACACCAGCTCGATTGCAAACCCTTGCAGCATTGTAACTTTAGTATATACACTAAACAACAAGTATATTTGATCCATCATCCTGATCATAAATGTAACAGAACCAACTCCAAATTTCACTTCCACTAACAAAATCCATATTAAAATTCAGGAGTCTTTGAGCAGTTCATTCCTGGATAAAGGATAAAGTGAATAACTGCCTATTTCAATCTATACTGTATTTCAATCTATACTGTACAGATATGATATTAAGTTTCTTAATCAAGGTCCCTAACAAATTACCTAAACTAGACAGATCTAAACTCTGAAAGTTCTAACAACAAGAAAGAGAACTGAAATAGAGGGATAAAGAAGAAAAGCATAAAATTAAGACAATACAAATATAGAAAAAAAAAATAAAAGGGAGATGTCAACTTATTTTTCTGGAGCAAGCCATTTTCTTATCAGCAATGAAGTGCATCTCCAATTTCCAGCCCCCCTGAACATATTAAGCAAGTGCCTTTGAAACATTAAAATTATAATAGAATTCAGTGTCAGAGTAGAGAACTTCATTTTGTGTAAAGCAATTGACTTTACCAATGCTGAATCTTCTAGTAATAGCCACCTCCGTAAGAACGATTGGCCCCAAAGTGTGGAGGATAAGTACCGTGCTACAACAAAATCAAATTATTGATATAATTGATTTTTAATTGAAAGTTATAACAAATTGATGGGATGATAGCTATTAATTGATTACTCACATCAGAAACATGATAATCATGTGAATAGGGACCACTTCCAACAGGCCCAGCTCCATAAGTATCTAAAACACATTGCCATATGAAGAATGAATAACATAAGAAAACAATAATATTCTACGTAAGACCAGAGAAAAGAGTTTCAGGACAAATATAAACCATGATAATGGGTGTCATGAAATGGAACTTCTGGGTAAGCATAATCCAACCGCGGACGGACTCTACTAGGCTCCCCATAGTCAGGTTGGTGGTCCTGGTAGCATGGAAAATTTTAAACAATGAGGAATGCTATGAGAGAAGCTAGATAATATGGAAAAAAAATTATATGAACCAAAACAGAAGAAACAAACAACCAACTTACAGCAATATTTGGGAGAAAAGAAAAGAATAACTTACAGTCATATAAAATGGCCGCTTAGTTCCATGCAAAGTTTCATCATAGGAATACCGATCATCATAGTGTCTTCTATGATAAGGTCTATCAAAGGATGCTTCAGGAGAAAATGGTGGCCTCCTGAAAGGCATATGCTCCTCCCAGTATGTATCAGGGGCATCATGCCAGGATCTATTAAAACTATGCCTCGATGACCCAGTACTTGCAACACCTTTGGATGCATGGTAACCACCTCTAAAATGACCCCATCTTCCTCCTGCTTTTGTACGATAGGATGAATTAGATTGCTTGAAGCAAAATGCAAGGTCCATATTAGTGCAAGTAGCATAAATATTTATGGAGAGAGAAATAGATTAGGTTAAACCTTCCCCCACAGCATGCCTCCCATGAAACTCAGCATATCTGTTATCAAAATCATAATTATTCGGATGTATTCTACTAGGTCGGCCCTGTTCATGATGATAAAAACCCCTTCCATGCTGGAAATGTGACCAATTAAAGCGATGTCCACCCCGCCCAAAACTCTTTCCTGTAAGCACCAATGACAGGATAAAGATTACAAGCAGAGAAAATAAAGCTCTTTTTGCAAATTATTAAGAGATTACCAAATCTCAAAAATGGTCTGCTGCCACTGTGTCCAATTCGAAATCCACCAGACATTCCACCCTTTATAGCCTGTGTTTTAGGCAATGGATTCGATAGCCTTGCTCTGACTTTTGTCTATGAGAATGAGAGGATGAAAATGGATTGAAACAAAAATCATTGAAAGCAAGCACTGTATAGGTGCACTACTCAATGAGAGAGAGAACTAAAGAATGCAGTGGACCAGCCTACAAAGGGTGATGGATCAATGGATTTAAACCCAACATTTTTCTTTAGGCCAAATAACATTGAAAAGGAGTAGTAGAAAATCTTATGCAGCAAGAAATGCCAAAACGTGTAGCATCAAGTTGAGAGACACTGAGACATACCTTTGAGTTACAATCACCTAACTCAGCATTATTTACCCCATTTATGCAAGCAATAGCAGCTTCACGGGTAGAGAAATCAACAAATCCAAAATCCTTTCTTTTGGCAGTTGACATGTTGCGGGCCAGGACAATATGCACAATCTCCCCATAACCTTTAAGTCGTTCTCTGACATGGTCTTCATCCCACTGAGCGGGAAGTGAGTCAAGAAAAACTGTCTTTACCTTAGCCATTATTTCTGGATCAGGCTCACGTAAAGGTTCAGCAAAAGCAACCTTGGCAGTTCTCTCAGGGTGTCCAAATACAACATCAGGCTTTTGAAGCCTCTTGTATGCAAGCATGGCATCAACATGACAAGAGAACTCAAGAAATGCAAAACCACGACTCAACCCTTCATGTTGAACATCTGGGACTAGAGTAATATTCTCAAGACCTTCAATGCCATAATCTTTCAGCTTTTGTTTTATCTGCAAGCCAGAATAGTGAGAGTGAGAGAATAAACAAAAAAGTGAGCATGTGCTACCGATTATTTTAAGTACTCACGGCTTCTTTTGTCCATGTATTGCAGATATTTCCCAAAAACAATGTATCGTTGTCCTGACTAGGTGCAGTCCCACATCTCTTCCCACATATCTGTGAGTCATGAACAATTAAAAAAAGCCTTTTGATTGAGCAAACAAAGCAAATGGTATTAACAGATACATACCACAGGGTTTTTAATTTCAGACAAGGCACGCATTGCCTGCTCCTTAGTCGCAAACTTCACAAATGCATAGCCCTTATTCTTGTTGGTCACAGGATTCCTTAGCAACCGAACTTCAACCACCTCTCCAATCTTCTTAAAAACCCTTCTCACATCTTCCTCAACAGCGTCCCGATCTAATCCACCAATGAATATCTCACACTCTTTCTTCATTCTCCACTCCTTTGCAATGGCTGTCAATTGCCTGCACTCCTCTTCCAATGCTTCAGTTTCTTCCCCAGTGTCCTCTATATCATCATCTGGAAGGTCTTCATCTTCATGTTCTCCAAAATCAAGTCTATCATCATACTCCCCTAGTCCCTCATCAATACCACCATAAGGATCCTCTTCAGTTTCCTCTTCTCTTTGGAACTCATATTTAACATTTTCTTCTACGTTGGCATGCTCAATCTGGTGATTCTTTTGACCATCAATTTCCATCTGCTCTTTACATCCTCCTTTCAATTCCTGACTTCCCTTTTCACTGCGTTTTGTTTCATTCTCAGATGATTTGGCAACCTCTGTAACAAAAGGTTCCTCTTGCTCCACAGAACTCCTAGCATTTTCATCAACAGGTACATCATTTTCCATCACAATTTTCTCCTCCAGTCTGCATTCCCCATCATCATTACTAACAATTTCTTTGTCAATCAAAATCCCCTCCTTTGCAGATTGAACACCATTTCTGACAAGAATTTCTTCTCCTTCCATCATAGGTTCTTCCTCCTCAGGATCTCTCTCATCTCCAGCATCAGTTTCCTCTTGCTTTTCACTCTCCAAGTCCTTTGCAGCGTCCACTTGTAAATTTTTCGGGTATTCCTCTGCCGTTTGCTTTACAGCTTCCACTGACTTTGGTGTCCTCTTGGGACCAGCTTTTCCTTTCGGCCTCCCAGGTCTTCTCTTTGCTCCTATTTTATTTCCCCGTTCAACTTCTGAATCAGCTGTCATGGTAGCAGCATCAGCAGACGGTTTCACTTCAACTAAATCTCCAAAGTTTTAAAATAAAAACACCATTACAATTAAGAAATCTCTACTAGTTCCACGGTCTTGTAATATCATCAACCTCTCAAAATCTTGTCCCCATTTTGATTTTTAAATTATTAAGCTTAAATAATTAAATAACGATTTCCAAATTGTAAGAAAAAATACTAATCCAAATTCCCCAATTAAACAGCGCCTAATTAAACCCACAACGAAACCAACAAGAAGGAAGGTATTTCTTGAGTTATATACCTGGTGATTGTTCAGTCTTGGACTCAGAACTGATAGTTACTGCAGATGACGGCTTCTTTGCTCTGGCAGCAGAACCGCCCTTAGTCCCGGCAGTTTTGGGAGTCACCGATTCATTGGCAGTAGCAGTGGAGTTCGTAGCAGCATAAGTAGCAGATTTCCTCCCCGCCGGCGTCTTTTTGGCGGTTACCGATTGGGGAGTCCCAATATTTCGAGTTCTCATTCCTGCCACCGGCAGTAAATGTGAGTTTGCAAGACCTTAGCAAGAGCTATCCGTTCTCGGATGCTGCCCTTATCAGTGTAACCAGACGGAAGAGAAGGAGAACACAATTCACCGATCGATCGGATAAGACACGGCAACCGGTGGACCGCCGAGGGAAGGGATTGTAACGTAAAAAGCGAAGTTAAGGGTCAAAACAGTGTCGTTTTTGCTTTTAGAAAGGGGGGCGGACTCACACGTATTGCTTTTGCTGTTGCTGCACGCGTGTGGAAATTCTGTTGAATTAGTTGGGAAGTTGCAGTTGCAGCCCTGCTTCCTTACGTTCTAGCTGAACTCTGTTTCATCACTGAAATCACCGTTGAGTTTCGACGGTGGAAGAAGGAAGGACAAGGGGAAAAGAAAGCAGAGGAGATCAATTGAAGTTTCCGGCAATGGGTGCCTCTGAATCCACACTCTCAGCCTCGCGGGTAACCCTCAAATTCGCCCAACGTTTTGTTTTGTTTTTTTTTTTTGTTTTTTTTTGTTTTTTTTTTTCCGTTCTTCCATTGATTTATTAACACTGTGTAATTGGAAACGAAGGCACCGGCGGATGAAATAACCACCGTGTCTCATCGATCGGAAGCAGTTGATCCAATTTTAGAGAAACTCAAATCCCTTAAAATCGTGAGTGCTGCATTCCATATAAAGTTAGGGTTTTTATGTTCCATCTCCGTACTTCAATTCAAATATGAAATCATGTATGAAATCATGAGTCTATTTTTTGGGGTTTTTTTTTAATTTTTTTTTAATAATTTTAGACGTCACCCATACTCACATCGCCGCCGGGGGAAGGTAGCTTAACTGACATTTTAGTGAGAAAACCAGCCTCTCCTTCAGCTCCTGGTAAGTTGACTTTTCCTTTTGGGGGGCATTTTGTGCTTGCTGGTAGTAATTGATATCCGTGCTAAAGTTGTTATCTTTGAATTGTCAAATAGCAACTGTAAATCCAAAGGTCCTACTGGAGCTCTTATCCATGTATCGCGATTGGCAGCAAGAAAAGGCTCAAAACATTAGCAAAAAACAGGTTTGCCTTCTCATCCATCGATTTATTACAGGAACAGGCATTGCTGCATGTGAATGGATCAGTTTTGCAATGTGTCCTTGTGTACCATTTTTAATGCTTATGTCCGTCCCCCTACACCGGGATTAAGATCTAAACTAGAATTCAAATGCTAAGGTCAAGTTGCACCCAAGCAGCAAGCTTTGTGAAATGGCATAGAACTGATATCTAGGGTCAACATTGAATTTTTTTGGATTTCTGGAGGCATGATATAGTCTAGTGAGAAGTCTCAGTACATGAGTCTTACTTTTAATGTTAAGTTTTTATGTTCTTGTATTTCCGGTTCGTATGATAGTTTGATTCTGCAACATATCCTCATAAACTATATGTAGAGTCCATGTGTACGGTATATCTGTTATTTGGATTGAGATGCAAGTGAAATCTAATGCTAGGACATAGGCCAGCAGCATAGAAATTCGTAACATGTCAAGTTCGAAGATTCTATGATGAATGAATGAACATCCAAGCTAAATGTCGTTGGAGACAGAAATGTGGATCTGCTTCACTGCCTGGTCTTAAATGTAGTAGTTGATTTTAAATAGTCTTGTTGAAAGAGAGCTAACACAAAGACTAAAAATGCAGTGATTTTCCTTGCCATAGAAAGCTGAGTTGCATGTAACAAGTACTGATTGTTTGGCATTGCATAGAGGAGATTGCTTATTTTTTTCCTATTTATAAGCATCTTGTGTTGCATAGCTTGTGATTTGCTGGAGTTCTTTGTAGGAGGAGATAGAAAACAAAATAGAAGTTGCGGATGCCTTGGCAGTTAAACTTCTTCAACGATTTAATTACTCGGTCTCAGCAATGAAGACAACTTCACAACATTTACAAGAAGGTAATTGGTTGGTGTTCTCTAAGAAATGATTTAAAGCATAAAGAGCCTATCAGTAAAATTGCTGTGCTTCTGGATGGTCAATTATAATGGATCAACTGATAAATTGGAAAGGAAACGCAATGAAAAGATACAGTCATGATAGCTCCAGCATGTCTGCATGATATCTTCACAACATATGGAAAAAAGAACATTTTAATATCCACTTACTTTTTCTTGAATCCGTTTTGGTGGAGTTCAATCTTCACCTAACCTTTTTCTGTACAACGGTTGTAGTTCATGCACTGCAGGTGGAGCTAGGGGAGCTTAAAGGAAGGTTAACTGAGGTCATTAGCAATTGTGATGCATTGTGCAAGAGAATTGCAACTGAGGGACCAGAACCTCTTCGATCATCCATCAAGCCATTCTCAATTGCCACATCCAACTCAAACTTAAATCAGAGCTCATCTTCCCTACAAAGTGTAACAGATGAAAGTCCAGCCCCCACAGAACCCAAGTTAGCCTAACCCTTTAAATTTATTTCTTATTTTATACAATTGATAGATTCTTTTACGCTTCATCTTCACTGGGTTTGATTTTTTTTTTTTCATGTTCATGTTCAAATGGTATTATGATGTATTTGTGAATAACCCTTTGATGTTACAATTTTTGCATATAGAGTAAGTTTATGAAGTAAATACAACTCTGCTGGTTTCTTGCTTTTGTTTCTTTCACATCTATCTGCCGACAGAGCATACTTATAGAGTTGATACTATAAATTTTTAAACCCCTCTTTATGAAAAGATGAACAGGAAAATGAAAATGACAGAGTGGAAGGAGTCCCACCAAAAGATGCTGAGTGCAGACTTCTCTTCCATGGAAAAAACAGGAGAGAGAAAGCAACATGTAAGCTAATAACAAGAAACAAAGCAATCTAGCAGACAAGATTTTGCATTTTTGAAAGCATATGTAGCCATATATATTGTGGAACACAACATATTGTGAAACACCAACACATCACATGATCCAATTAATAAACAACCAGCAGAACCACACCAATTCACTGAATATCACTCAATCTACTGACAGAAACCATTACAAAATTAGTTACCTGATTCATGCATAAATCATGGCTTGATATTTGAAGTGATCAGATCCTACAATCCCAGCTTCCATACATAAAGCTTATTTGCAAAACTTGGCATCTGATATACCAAAACTGAATTGAAGTCTCAAAAGAAGGGAAACCCAGATTGGACAAATTTGCTTCTATTATTAACTTCGTGGAATCGAATGAATGAGGATTACAGAAATTAGACAGGATACAACTGGGAAAATGAAACTATTTAGCTGCGGGGAAAGCATCAAAAAGGGAAATTATGAAGGTGTTTAATTTAAATTAAATTATGATATAGACTCAGTTCATCCAAGTACAGATTTGGATGAATGCTGCAGAGCAGAGACTGATCAAGGCTGTTGCTGGGCGTCCATATAACCAGCATCAACCAGCACCTTCTCCCTCTTAGCCAATTCAAGGTCTTCATCAACCATCATCTTCACCAACTGCTCAAACCCCACTTTAGGCTTCCAACCAAGTACTTTTTTGGCTTTGCTCGCATCGCCCTTTAAGTTATCCACCTCTGCAGGCCGGAAGTACCTCTTGTCAATCAGCACATGATCCTTCCAGTTCAACCCAACATACCCAAATGCCACCTCTAAGAATTCCTCCACCGAATGCGACTCCTCTGTAGCCACCACATAATCGTCCGGCTTTTCCTGCTGCAACATCAACCACATTGCCTCCACGTAATCCCCTGCAAATCCCCAATCCCTAGACGCCTGCAAATTCCCCAAAAACAACTTGCTCTGTAGCCCGATCTTGATCCTCCCAACCGCGCGCGTAATCTTCCTAGTCACGAAATTCTCGCCTCTCCTCGGCGATTCGTGATTGAACAGAATACCATTACAGGCAAAAAGTCCATAAGCTTCCCTATAATTCACAGTGTACCAATGGGCAGCGCATTTTGATGCTGCATATGGAGATCTAGGGTGAAAAGGAGAATTCTCAGACTGGGGAGGCGGAGTGGATCCGAACATTTCGGAGGATCCAGCTTGGTAGTACCGGATGTGATTTCGACCAGTGGCGGCGATGTGGGATCTAACAGCCTCCAAGAGGCGAAGTGCCCCAGTGGCAACAACATCAGCGGTATAATCAGGGATTTCAAACGAGACCGCGACGTGCGACTGCGCGGCGAGATTATAGACCTCATCGGGGTGAATGATGTCGACCCAGCGGCGGAGGGAGGAGGCGTCGGTGAGATCTGCATAGTGCAGCTTCATAAGGGCCTTGTGAGCGTTGTGCGGGTCGATGTAGATGTGATTGATACGCTGCGTATTGAAGTTGGAGGAGCGACGGATCAGGCCGTGGACCTCGTACCCTTTGTTGAGGAGGAACTCGGTGAGGTAAGAACCATCTTGGCCGGTGATTCCGGTGATGAGAGCGATCTTGCGGGAGGCCGGCGGAGCAGGAGACGAGGAGAGGTCTCCGTTGCTGGTGGCGGATCTGGAAGTTTCATTCTGGGAAGCCATGGAGCTAGATCTGAGGAGAAATGGAAGAGACGGTGGTTTTATACGGTGTGGGAAGGGGAGACTGGTCAATACGGAAACGGTGAGGTGGTGCCAGTTATGAATTGACGGATTTGTCCTTCGGCGGGATTGGGGCAGTGCGATGTGATTGGTTGGCGGGAACTCTCTCACTGTGTAATGGGCTTTTGGTTTTGGATGGGATGGAAGAAAAACTTGAGTTTTTTATATTTTGGGCCAAGGAGTAACTTCATGGTGGATTGGTGGGCTTTTCTCTAAGCCGAAGTAATGGGTTTGGGTTCTATTCGGCCTGATTATAGTTGAGACTAGGAGTGCAAACGAGCCCAATCTTTTTTTTGGTTTTTCAATTAAATGTGCATTTATTAAACTTTTTTTTTTTACATTAATTAAGATAAAAAATAAAAATTGATATTAATAGCAACTGTCAACAATCATATTCTTTTATGTAAATTAATACCAAATCCCCTAAAATTGAACCCGACT